ACCAACGCTAGAGGGGGGGTGAATAGCGTTTGATCAAGAAATCGCAGGAATAAAAAATAAATAAACGAGAAGTAAAGAGGCACACCGATTTTACCCTGGTTCACCACAACGTGTGGCTAGTCCAGTCTCCCGAGAGACTCTCTCGAGCTACACTACTTCCGTTAAGCTTACGGGTGCTTAACAAACCGTTACAACCTGAGAACTCGAGTCCCACGAGCCTCAATACACTTGCTCGGAGATACCGCACTCCAAGACTTCAACTCGAAGGAATATGCCCTTCCTTCGTACAACCAAGGGAACAAACCTCCCTTAAAGTGTTCACAACACTTAACCACTCAAGAACAAAAACTCTCTTAAAGAGTAGAATATGAGTAAACTAATTTAGATCAAGAATACACTCAATTCCTCAAGAAATGGCTCTAAAAAGCTATGTAAAAAGTTTATGGAATGATGCAATGTAAAGCTATGAAATGTGTGAGGAATGGATGTGAAAAGTAGACCCAAGAGACCCTTTTTATACCCAAAAACAAGGTGCAACGGTTGGGAAAAGATTGGGGTTGATTAGCTTGATTTGTGGAAATCAAATAAAAGTGGATCTGCTGAAATCTAGCCCGACAGCGCTGTTCATATGGTGAACATCGCTGTTCTGACTTTGACTTTCCTTTAAAAATGGCTAACGGTCATCAAAACATCGATGTCTAGAAGTCTACATCGCTGTTGGGGTGTTTGACTTTCAAAAATGGAAAGATGTTGTCTTAAAGATTTTGTCTTATATATATATATATATAGGGCTTTATGTAAAACACAAAATATTCTCGTCTCGACTCATGAAAAATGTGAAAAAGTTCATATTCAACCTTCACATTATATGAAAGCACAACTTTCTGCATAATTAGTTCAAATTTCGACTTTGGCTTTGGCAGGTAGCCATTTCACGATAGACTTGTTGCAAACCAACAAAAGGCAGCAAATGACAAAGACCCATAATCACAATTTTCTAATGCTTTTCATAAGTAAAGTATTTTGACAACTTAAACAAAATATTTCAGCTTTCACAATTTATTTTGCATTTTTGTTTTTTATCATCACAATTTTTTCTATTTTTTAGTTTTTATTTTTTCTCATGTCATTTTTTCTGTAATAATACTAAGTACAATTTTATTGGCAAAAATTATTTTTTTATTATTTTATGTGACACCAAACGATGTTTTCAAAAAAATAGGAATATTTTATAAATTAACCTAGGAAAAATATCAATATTTCAAATTAAAAAATAACAATTATACTAGCTACTCCCTCTATCTCTAATTAAATGGTATGTATACTATTCACGTGATCAAATTTTATTGATTTTCTTTACCTATTATATATTATTGTTATAGTTATAGAGATAATAATAATAACAATAATAGTAATAGTAATAATTATAATAATAATAATAATAATAATAATAATAATAATAATGTTAATAACAATAAAAAAAATAAAAATTATAATAAGAATAATATGTAAAAATATATTAAAAAACATTTTGAAGTTCCTTCAAGTCTTTCTAGTTACTTCCATTTTTTCTTTTTCTTCCAATTTCTTCTCATTCGTTTTAGTTTTTCTAGTTTTTAGAGTTTCTTCTAATTTTTTACAATACTTAGCTCTTTTTTTTTCAATCCTAAAGAACATACTCTTATTTTTATTGTAGTTTGTAATATGTTCTTTAACATTCACCAAAGACTGAATTGATATTTAGGGATAGATAGCATGTTCCATACCAAACTTGCACACTCATTCTTTGTTAGATTTCCCATAAGCCAATTAAAATCTTCCTCTAATGAGTAGTCTCCACTCATAGGCATCCCCTCCCACTCATAGGCATCCCCTCAAACTCTTCGCTCACCTTTGTCATCCTCCTCCAATAATCGCAGTCATCCGATTTTGGAACCTATTCTCATAGGTTAGTTTCCTTGAGGTATCTGTAATGTATCCATCAAACCCATAGGTTGTCTTTTTTATTAGCCAAGTCCTAGTTAAGTTTCATGACTTGTGCTTTCTTCCAAGAAATTAGGTTCATGAGCTCAAGTTGCATAATTTCTTTAGGTCTGCATGTTTCCCCCATTACAAAAGGGGTGCTTTCTTGTATTGCTCCGTCTCCCCTCTTAGGTAGTTTTTGCAGAGATCTTGAATGTATTTCATTACTTTACTTGAGATAATAATAATTCTGCTCTAAAAGTTGACTATACCCTTTAACACTGAGTGAATCTGTCTGGATTGACCTGCGGATGGTAGGTGTTTAGTATTCCAACTAATTATTCTGATTGTCATCTTTTCAATAAGTATATAATACTCCATCCGTTTCTTAAAACTCTTCTTCTATTAAAAAACCACTTTTACACCTACTTTTTCATACCATACCTATCACATCATACTTTTTCACTAACAACTAAACTATCACATCTTACTTTTACCCATCACATCAAGGGCAAAATTGGAAAGTCAACTACAATTTAACACTTCCTTATTTTTTCCTAAAGTCAAAAGAGGAACCGTTTTGAGAAACGGAGGAAATATTCAGGCAAGGACATTCTATTGGTTGTGATAGGGCATACCAAATAAGTGAGAGGTAATTTCCCTTGATTAGATATATTAACATTGGCAATCAGCTTCTACTTTCTCATCTTGTCTTAGGCCAACCCTAACCACTACAATTTGAGATTTGCTCAAGTTGATGGATGAGCCAGTAGTCTCCTTAAAATAATACAATGAGTATATAATACATTTAATAGATTTTTCATCAGCTTTACAGATCACTATCACTATCAGGTCATCAGCAAAGTATAAGTTGATTAGTTTAATTTCCTTGCGCATAGGGTACCATCAATTTTTTGGTAATAACTCACAGGTTCTACATTTTTTGAAATATACTCTGGGGTACCCTTAATTTTCAAGTAGGAACTCTCAGGTCCCACATTATCCAAAATATACTCTTGGCTTGGGGTCCTTCAATTTTGTGGTAATGTACTCTGAGGGTACATTATGTTTATTGATCATTATAGTTAAAAGTTCTGTTACTTTGAAAAATAATAAACTTTACATTGATAATTATTATTTATTAAATTAAAATAAAATTCATCAATTTGTCAAAGTAAAATAACTTTTAATCTAAAGCTGAGATAATGTACCCTCTGAGTATAATATCATAAATTTTAAAGACCTCGGAGTATATTTCAGATAATGTGGGATTTGAGATTTCTTACCAAAAAATATGAGACCTGAGAGTTATTACCAAAAAATTGAGGGTACCCAGAAGTAATTTTTTAGAAATTTGAGCTTGTACTTCTCACCAATAACATTCAGTAGTCAGCAGTCAGCACTCTAGTTAGATATTCTATAACTACTACAAATAAAAAAGGTGAGATAGGTCTCTTTGTCTTTGGCCTTTACCCCTTTTGAAAAATCATTGAGCCTGCAAATTTTAGTTGACCTTCTAGTAAAAAAATTGACCTTAAAGTCAACTAACATTCTCAGGTCAATTGAAACCTTGACGAGTGTGGGGTGTAGGTTCTAATTAGACCAGGGTGGAGGGCTTATCTAAAATTAGAAGGTAGAAATCATCAATTTTTAAGCGGAACACCTTAATATTTTTAATTTGACTGGTGTCATAATATAACACTCATTTAGAGTGTTAATATAACCTTGTCGTTATCTTTCTCACTAAGTATTCCTATTTACATTTTCCTCAAAAAAAGATATTCCTATTTAAATGTAGAATTTTTATATAAGAGTTATGTAACGTACTCCAATATCTATGTCCCTAATCAAGCCCACCTATGTAATGTGTACTTGAATTAACTAAAATTGTTAAGACATAAATCTAAATAGAATTAAAACATAAAATTTATATCTAAACAAGATCTCCTATGCTTTCTCTCTTAAATAGAAGCCTTGGTACAAATAGGATCGTTGGTATTGTCTAATGACACAACTTGATATTGTATATTCGCATTTCATAATATTTTTACATTAATATTTTTTGGCATTATAAATCCTATTTTAGTGTGTGTGTATATTCGATCTTGGTTGGTCTTTCACACCTAACCACAAGTCATCACTGTATTTTGCCACATACGTGGGTTTGGTCCTCAAAGGCCTGTTAGATCTCTCTCCAACCTGCTCATGACTGGATCGATCGGTTTCAAGTGAGATAAGAACACCTAAAATCATCACTTCTCGAACCTGGATTGGTCTTTGGGTCGTGATCCTACCGGATTGAACAATCAGTGTATTTTGATTTCTAAAACAATGCCTTTTCCTACCAAAGTATTCCACACTATTATTCTAATTGCCTCTGAGCCAAACATCCCATAGCTTAGAATGGCAAAGGACACCTACTCTAAGAGTTATGTTCAAGTGGTCAATAGTGATACCTAATTCCTAAGGGCTCTTTAGAACTAGACGATCACATGAGAGAGGTAAACTAGATTTTAAGCATAGATTGATCGTAAAAAGTATAACCCGCATCGGGTAGTTGCAGTCAAGTTCTTCCCTTACCATACATAATGTGAAATATCTTATACGTTGAATAGTTGCACTCTCTTTGTCTCAAAATGAATTAGTTCTTTTGATCAACGTGCAAATTCTTGGTATTGTAGTGGTGGGGGGGGGGGCAAGTAGATGTCAGGGGGTAAGGTTTAGGATGGAGGTTAGGAGGATAGGAAACATTAATTTTACGAACGGAGCACCGTAAGTAACCAAATTTATAATATGATCCAAGGTTCAAAGGTCAAAAGATCTTTGCCCTATTTTTTAAGAGTAAATTTCATAATTGTTCATTTATAACAGAGAGTTTCTCTATTTAGTCTTCTATTATCAAATATTATCCCAATGGTCCTTCTATTATGGGTATCTTTCCACAAATAGTCCTTTTTTTTATCTTTTATCATGTTGGTGTTAATTTGAGGGCTAACAGTATAATTTTACAATGATAATATACGGAGTATCTTTTTTGTCATACTATACACAATTCCAAAGGTTGTTCCGTTTGTATCGTTTGTGAATTACATTCGCTTTCTACTACAACCATAGTCTACAAATGTGATCTTCTTTCGGAATCCTAGCCCACAATCATAGTTATTATTTTTGTGTTATCCGCTTAACCAATATCAGAACACGTCACTAGACATAATGTTGATGTCAATTTATATTTTTAGCCTTTAAATTAATACCCACATGGCGGAAGATCATAAGAAGGACCATTTGTGGAAAGACATCGTACCCTTAAAAAAAGGACTACGAGAGTAATATTTGATAATAGAGAACTAAATATGGAAACCCCTTGTTATAAAGGATCAATTATGGAATTTACTCTTTTTTTATGTCAATCTTTAAATAAAATATACTCCGTATTTAAAAAAATTGAATTTTATTTTTTTCAAGAAATAGAAAAGACAGCTGTTATGCATATTTACTCATAGATGTTTGGTGATAGACAATAGGTGTAGAAGAGTAGAAGCATCACCTCATCCTCTGATGCCTCCTTCAGAAATGTCACAGGCGCAGCAGCACATCCAAACAAAATGACATGGGAAAAGCATGGCTCCCTATCTATAACTTTTAGTACTTTCATGTATTACCTTACACCTTTGTCTTCTTTCAAAAGAAGTCTCTTTCCAACTTTCATTAAACAAAAAAATTGAAAAGGATCTATGGGTAATGATCAATGAGGTAAGAAAAATGTTAAATGAACCTCAAATTTAGTCATTTTTTTTACAGACACGTCTAACATTATTCTGTATTTGTGAATGTCTGTGCAAAAAATAGTGTGGAAAGGTATCGCTTTTTAGATATATTTGGATCACGAAGGATCAGAAAGCTTGAAATTGGTAGGTGGACGCCTCCGACGAATGAAGGGCACTCTCAAGATCAACATCGCCCACCACATTCTAACATCGCTAACGGAAAAAAGTACAACATGCAACTGATATCATTGCAACAAAATTTTTACTCTCTCCGTCCTTATTTGTTTACCAGATTTCTAAAATCGAGGTAAAATTTTAAATTTTTTCAATTTATTTTATTTAAATATTGGTATAGAAATAAAAAATAAAATTTACATATTTAAAAAGTACATAAAAAATTCTTCGAAATAAGATATCAAGAATATTTTATTTTATCAAATAACTAATGAAATAGTAAAAATAAACAAAAGTTTCTGCGACTGTTGAAAAAGCAAATGTGACATTCTTTTAAGGACAGAAAAAGTATTACAGATTTTGTCGTAGATGAGCTTTACTACGGATTTCACTTATATTTGCTCAGAATGTTCCGTCCCTGACAGATTTCATGACATTTTGATAGTTTATAAAATTTACCAAAAAAATTGATGGTAATATAGAAATCACTCAAAATAGAAATAAAACATAGAAAAAGTACTAAAATATGAGTTTCATATTTTTATTCTCGAAATAGAAGTTTACACTGTGTTAATGTAGCACTGTAAATGTGCACGTTACTATATTTTTTTGATAATACACATGACCATGTTTGATAATTTTAACTCCTATAAAAATATAGAAATCCTATTTTGATATTTTTCTACGTTTTACTCCTATTTTAGTTTTTTTCCATGCTAATAAGTAATTCTAGGGACTTCCACTTGGACTCAAACTTTTGAAGGATTGATAATCTCTATAAACATGTCTTTTGGATTCAATTTTTCAGAGTCCTTATTTCTATATGCAAAAAGGAATATTCGGAAAAGAATTTGTGAAATGTTGATTAATAAGTATAATAATACTTGAGGCTTGAAATCAAAATTTGTACGCTTTATTGCAAAATATTTATCTACTTTTGATTTTTTATAGTCAACCATGATTAACCATTAACTTTTAATTAAATAAAAATTACATGAAATAAAAATTAGATAAAATAACATTTTAAAAATATTTTACAAGATAAATGTAATAAAAAATTTTGTTTCAATATCTAATTTAGATTTTATTTAATTAATGCTCAAAGTATAACAATTTTGACCGTAAAGAATTAAAACTGAACAAAAAATTTGAGACAGTAGTATTAGTTTTTGCTCTCTATAAACAAATCCTTTATATCTAAAATTTTACAACATAATCCTACATGCAAAAAAGAACATTAGAGCTAGATTTTATTATTTTTTCAAAGTTTAAACCAAATATAAAACTCTCCATCTATATATAGTTTCACAACTGAAGAGGCGACAAAACCTCAAAGATTTTGTCATCTATTGTTAACTTGACAAGAATTTGTTGCTAATGTTTAACCAAAACGTAGTAAAACACAAAAAATGTGATGGTTCAGTCTCTCTCTCTCCTCGACACGAGGGAGAAATGTGTTTTTGCTCCCTCCCGAAATCAAGCTTCGGTCAGTTTTAAACGAGGAACGATATTCATAGATTGAAGCTCCTGCATTCAAGAAAACCAACCAAAAATTCAAGCGTGAATGAAACAATACCCGAAGAATATACAATGAGCAATGACCACAAATACCGAAAAACATAGGGCGACTGTTTGAATTTATATACAAAACTGGACTGGAATAAAAATTTAGAATTTGAGTTAGTTGTTGATGATGATTGAGATGGAAGCAGCATGATTTACCTGGAATAGAAGCTTGCATGCATATGGAAGCTTCATGGTAGCTATGTTATCCCCATTCTTGCAGGTTGAACAAATGCTAACTTTCAGCTTGTAGTCATAGTATCCCAATAACCCACATTTCTCGCATACCTACAATGTGAAGAAGAAGACCATATTGGTAACAAGAACATGACCATTGATCAAGGCATATATGCATAGCCCACCGGTTCCATGGTCACTCTATTTGAGTGGTCACAGAGGACACTGCCCTTCTATGGTGTTCTGTTAGTAAAATTGAAAGTTTCTACCCATCGGTAAACCCGCCACCCAGACCCGACCCAAACTCATCCCCCGCCTACGTCAATTGCACTTCGCAAGTTTAGTTGACTTTGAAGTCAAAAATTTGACTTCAAAGTCAACTAACTTGCAAGGTGCAATTGATGTGGGTGGAGGGATGGGTTAGAGTCGGAACTGGGTGGGAGGTTTACCAGGGGATAGGGGGTAGGAACTATCAATTTTATGAACGGAACACTATAGGTGTCCTCATTGGAACAATGTCCTCGGTGGCTACACAAATAGAGTGGCCATGGAACCGGCCCATATGCATAGTGGGAGATTTGGAATGAAAGAAAAATATAAGGGAAACTTAAAATAGGTTCAAATTCTCAATAAACGAAACGATATTTTGTCTAATTCTTTTTATTTTTATGTTCCTTTTAAATAAAAGCAAAGAAATCAACATCTGTGTAAAATAAGTTAATCAATTTTTCACTTTGCAATGCGAAACACAAACAGCAACAAAAAAATTCCTTGGTAGAATTCTTTTCATTTCCCTGCAGTTTTCTGAGTTCCAAACATCGCCAAGAGCAATTTTATCTTGACTTGCAACTAGGGTATTTGTGTCTCACCTGAACTTCAAAAGGATCACTTGAAAGCATCAAGCGTTCATATATTAACATACTTGCTCCATATGCGATTAAGCAATCCCTTTCCATTTCTCCGACACGTAGACCTGGAAATATAATAAAGTATTGAAGAGTTTCACAGCCAACACCTTTTGTAACAAGACTAACCAGAGATAAATATCAATGGGTTTTCATGCCTCCATTTCTGCTTCTTCCTTCAGTAGGTTGTCTTGTGAGCAAGGTTTTAGGGCCACTGCCTCTAGCATGAATCTTATCCAAGACCTGAACACCAATAATGAGGCAATAATTTAATTATTGGCACTTTTAATATACATTACCTATACTAAATAAAATAATATTGAGGTTAGGCAAGTCAACTTTTTACACAGAAAAGCCTTTGGTGCCATTTTATTCTCTAGACGCAAGAAATTGTAAAATTATATCAGAACACGACCAAACTCCAGAAAAAGTAAAGGAAACAATCCCATTATAATCCCAACCCCGTTGGGGTCTGGGGGGTCAAGATGTGTGCAACCATACATCCCTTGTGAAAAAACAGAGGTTTCCATAAAGACCCTCAATGACCATAGATTTTTTTTTGGATGACCTTAGAGGCATTAGTGCATTTACTGCCTAAAGCTTTGTAGAAGATACAAAGCAAGGGAAGCTTTGATGTGCCATTTTGATTTAGCTCATTATCTACCTGATGTTAAACCATTGTAAAAAATGAATCATTTAGCTACATTTGGAATGGACGCAATACTCAATAAGGGCAGTCAAAAGGCATGTATACATAAACGGTAATATAAATCTGTATGGAGACTGAAAATTGTTGATCCCAGTGAAGAAATGTGGAAAAACTAGAACAAATACCACCAAAAATAGGAGTTCAATTACAATTTTATGTCAGACAATCTCAGGCTTTTGATAAGAGGATATCTAAGGACTCAGGGTCTCACCATATGTTTCAGCTTCTGGTAATAAATTGGTCCCATAAAGATGTACGCCTGTAGTGGTGTGCCATCAATACCTACATAGAAGAAATGGAAGTAGGTAAGAAGAAAGTTCACATAGAGCTAAATAACAGTGGAAGGAAACAGATGGATAAAGTAAAGAAAACCAACCTGAATATATAAAGTCCTTTCCATTGTAGCTAAACCCATGCTTCACAAGGGTTTCACTGTTACAGAAAGATAAGGTTATTGAAGAATCAGATTCCTGGAACTTAAAAATAGTTGATAGAAAAAGTGCAGCACCTTATAGTTTCAACTCGATCTGCATGGCCACTGCTTTCCCCAAAGGCGCTGCCATAATGAAACCTACCACAAGAAACTCCAGCTTTGCCTCCAAGAAGCTCTATCATCTTTCCAACAGTCATTCGGCTGACATTAATAGCAAATATTTAATATTTGAACCCAGTCACATATAGTCATAATTTCGAATATCAGAATCATCAGATCAGTTTAACAGGAAAAAATCTTAAATTTTTAACTGCTACAAAGAAAACAGACTGGAAATAATCAGAACCGCCATCATCCCGACTCAAACAGCTATTGCTTCACAGTCTATCTCGGTTTGGATAATTGACAGATAAGCTACCGACGATAGTTCTAGTATTCTTTACTTGGAATATAAGGCTTAACTGTTGTCGTCTCTTGTTTCAACACAGTTCCTTGAAGTTATTTCCGATGAAGGATCCAGAATTAATTCCATAACAAGCTTGTGGAAGATAATAATCCTGAGGCTTGAGATGGGGATGATGTAGCAGAATCATAGTCATGTTATATTTCCTCCGTCCCAAAAAAAGTTCATGAATGAGCAAAGTATAATTTTTAAAATGCTTGTACGGCACAACTACCATAAATCATGTGTCATAGTCATATTTTTAAAGCTAATTGGTTCTTGTGAATCTGTGAACTTTTTTTTAATCATAAGTACCTTGTCTATGACTTCTTTTGACAACTTTTGGCAAATTAAATTATATTCCTTGGGTGAGGCACAAGTTTTTTTTGCAACCTTTTTGTTTTTTAAAAGAAAACACATTCCTGAAACACAATTCTTTTTTGGGATGGAGGGAATACTATCTATCAGACACATAAATTTCAAGAAATTTCAAAGAGGCATACTCATACTTTTACTGTTTTACATTTAATGATATACCTTGGAAATCCATGAGGATTCATGATAAGATCTGGGCATATGCCGCGCTCAGAAAATGGGAAATCTTCTTGTGCAACAATGTTACCACAGACTCCTTTTTGACCATGTCTGCTACTAAACTTATCACCAAGCTGGACAAAACACAGACTTAAAGGTCATTTCCAGACAATTTCAAGCCAATAGAAAAATCATGTGTAGTACAAGCATTGAGTACCTCCGGCCTTCGAGTATGACGAATCATAAACTTAACACATAAATTGTTGTTCTTGTCAGAGAACAAAGCCACTCTGTCCACTGAACTTGTTTGTCCATCAGGACAATTGTAATGTTGTTTCATTACCTTGAATGCACTGGAATATGATACAAATAAAAGAAATGTTACATTAATAAAAAAGGAAGGATAAACTAACATAAGGCCGAAGGGGGACCTGGCTGGAAGTGCCATTGGTGACACAAGTGGCCCTTTTGTGACAAGCGGAGACGCTTTGATCATTAAAAAATCATTGGATTTAATGGTTGCTCCTGGAGAAGCTATTCCATCATTGTCTAGGACCTGGATCAATAAAAGGAAAAAAATGTTGAAATTGACCATGTTTCTCTTTTTGCAACAAGAAACTCTTAATTCGTAAATTTCTGTATACATTATGCTGAAAAACTAATAGGCAATATATTTTTTTTAGCACATCTTATATCCATGGGAATGCCCTATGACTTAGTGGATACCCTATGGCCAAAATGAAGGCTCAATCTCAACGAGGTCATGGAAGCGTGTACGTGTGTGGCATTCTACCATATCCTAAGGGAGGTCATAGCCTAAGGGAGTGCTTGGGACAGGAAGAAAGGCCCTCAACATGGTACACAGCCAAAGGACAAGACCATTGACTCAAGAAGTATTGCCTTTTATGAAATATATTGCCAGAAAACTAGGGCTCTTAATTTGGATAGATCCGATCTGGTCCACTGGATATCTGAAGCTTTTGGATCGGCAAAATTTGGATATCTGAAATTTTTGGATCGGAAAAATCTATTCCATATCTGATCCAGAAATCTCAGGATATCCAGGTTCCGGATAAGATCAGTGGAATATCTAGGATGATTTTTTATTTTTGTTTATAGAATTTTTACTTTGTCAATGATTCTAAAAATCACGAATGGAATATTATTTATTAATGGAGCTGAAAATTAGGATTTAATTTAAAGTTAAATGTGTTTTAAATTCCATGTATACCTTGATAGTGTTATCATAAGTTATACTCCATTGTTTTATAACTGCATGGAAAATGAATACCGACACAACAAAAACCAAGTCGGATCCCACAAGAGTAGGGTCAGTGGAGGGTGTGTGGGCCCTTACCCCTACTCAAAAGAATGGAGGATGTTTCCACAAAAGGACTAAGGAGTAAGGACTATAAATTGGGCTTAGATTTAGGGATTAATGGTGATAAAAATATATAGGATTTAGGTCGTGTGAATTTGGCTTTTAAATTTAAATTTTATAAATATGAACTTTGGATATTTGTGGATATCCAAAAAATTTATATTTCATTCCATGTCTGATCCAATTTTTTTCCGGATATCCAATCTGAAATATTTGAAAGCTAAATTCTAAAACACTGGATTGAACCCTGGACAGATTCTTTGAATTGAATATTTTTGAACACCCCCAATGCAAACTGCAAACCCAGTCACCCCCAAGGGTCATGCTCATTGATAGCCACTTTTAGGGGAACAGTAACACGGGGGTACACATAAACCTTGAACGTGTCTTAGATCAAGGTTTGCCCTTGGCTAAATGAAAGGCCACCCCGCAAAAACCCATGTGAGTCATTAGTGCTTAAGCTAGTCCCTCAGCCTGGAGCTTGGGATTTCCACCTACCATATGAAAACGCAGAACTTGTACGTTTTATATTGCATGACAACCCAACTTACGAAGCAACATTCCCTGTCCTACAACATGTGATTACCTAATCATATCATGAACAAAATGGTTTGCTAAATATGACAATTATAATGAATTATATGAATATGGAGATGTGATGACCGCTATATAAAATGATGTAAGAACATCGAATGAAAAGTGGTTGTGAATACTAAAATGTTGTTCTGAAAGGGGCAAACAAAAGAATAGATAGGGTCAGGTTATTAGACCAACTTACATCTTCATGGGCTAACGGAGGATATGACCTCAGTTTGGAGCAAATGGAAGTCGAGGATTAGGGTGGTAGGGTAGGGGCTCTGGATAGTGGTTTGCCATGTGTGGGAGTTGTCGTCTTAATTTGTTTTTTTTACTCCAAGTTCCTTTTAGTTTGAGTTGAGGGTCTCATGGAAACAATTTCTCTTCTTTCTCGGTAGGGGCAAGGTATATATAGACTTACCCTCACAAGATCCCACTAATTGAGACTCTTCTTTCTTGATAGGGGCAAGGTATGTATAGACTTACCCTCACAAGATCCCACTAATTGAGATTCTTGTGGATTTGATTGTGTTGTTGTAGGGAAATGAAAAAGGTGAATTTGATTTGGGAATGGAGGGAGCACATTTCAAGATTGATAACATTTTGGAAAAATAGTTGACCAGTGGCACATCCATCCATACAATATGGACTACACAGTGTATCGGTTTTCCATAATTATACCTGCATCCTTTGAGCTTCATTTGCATCTTGTGGTACAGGTCGGATTTGCTTATCAAATGCATTATTCTCATACTTCTGGTACATGCCTGATACTCTGTTAGAAAAAATTACAAATTAGAACACACAAATAGCTACTTTGAAATCTTAGCACACAGACAAATGAGTGGGAAAACAATTACGGCATTAATAATTGATTAGCATACTTCTTCATTAAAATACAGCGACCAAAACCACGATCAAGAGATGCTTTATTCATTACAATTGCATCCTCTATGTCATATCCACTATAACTCATTACAGCGACAGTTGCATTCTGTCCGGCACCTAGTTTATCATATCCAACCTACAAATAAAATTGTTAGTTCACAAGGAAGATCTGAAGGTGTCATCTGATCAGGCAATGAGATGCATTACCCACCAGCTCAATTGTTCTAGTTGTCAACAAGGGCCTCTGGGGATACACCAAAAGGTATATCAACGAGTCCATCCTGTACAGCTGCAAAGTGTATAAAAAATTATAATAAGGTTACGGACGTTGATACACAAACACATCACAAAAAGGAACATTAAGGGACATAAGAAGCACCAGAAGAGCAAAACATATAGTACTCCATAGTTCCTTAATTGAATAGCATAGAGAGATCAAATAAAACTGTAACATCCATAACATGTATTTTAGCATGCTCCTACAATGACACCTAAATACAGCACTAGAAAACCATAAATAATGAAATAAAAGGCAATTGTTATATTAAGGCCAGAACATTATGCCAGAACCATAGGCATTAAGACAGTGGCAGCTGGAATTTACAAGCTACACATATTTTAAAGACAGATTGATGTGTCGTAAACACCCAAATACATGAAGTATGGGAAAAGGCTTCAATAGACAGTCGATACCCATAGATGGTGTTTCTTAATGGTTTGAAGTGTCCGAAATAAATGCCTTAATATTGACCACAGCATATTACTCCCTCCGTCACATTTTTTGTCTATTTTCCTTTTCAATTTTTTCCAATTTATATTGTATGTTTGGTAGTTTACAACAACAACCCAGTTGGATCCCACTACAGTAGGGTCTGGGGAGGGTGTGTGTACGCAGACCTTGCCCCTACTCGGAAGCAGGGAGGCTGTTTCCAAGAGACCCCCGGCTCAACCTGCACAAAAAATGATAGGGTACACAGTATAGCATGGGTAAAACACCAAGTACAATGAAAAGAAAGTTCTACAAACATTAATAGAAGATTCCAATCAAACACAACACACTACAAAAAACCTCTGTAGCACCGAGTTCCTAACCAGCTACTCTAATCCTAGTTTTCCAAAGGTTCCTATCTAAAGCCATATCCTCAGTCAGGGTGAGAAGTCCTAAATGGTTCATATATTTCCAATCATGAAAACCATTATGAAAACCATTATGTGGTTCATACCATTATGAAAACCATTATGTGGTTCATATATTTCCTCTGCATAAATACCGAACACACTTTTCACTTTCTTGATCTCTATGCTCACTCAAAGTAGGCATCATAAATTGGGACAAAGTAAGGAGGAATTTCAGCAGAGAAATTGACTAGTCCAGTAATCCAATCTAAGTCTTCCATACAGAAATTTTCGAACCTCTCGCACTTGATACTTCTTTTAAACATTAAATCGCAGAAGACAAATTAAGTGGTAACACTTACAGATTTATTGTGAGTCAGTTAAAAGTGGTTGGAATACTAAAAATCACCTTACAAATGCCCATTTACCTGATTATACGCAATATTACCCATCGCTTGCTTGCCCATAGCACACTATGATCAGCCATATGAGAGAGTTAAATACGGTACAAAAAAAATATTATGCACACACATATAATGGGGTGAGAGTGCGGGAGACCTGATATGTGTTCCTTGGTGACTGATTGTGATGAGGATAAGGTATCAAACCAGCAATAACGCCTAAGATCGTGAAAGGCTCTATTTCAATGTGTGTTGTTTCAGGGGTAGCCTCATTATCATAGAGAGCAATCTAATAAAGATTCAGTCATAAATCATTATCCTTCTAGTCCACAATTGCTAACAGAAAATGAAATCGAGATATAGATAAAATACAGACCAATGCATTATTCTCCTCATTAACATCAAGATACTCAATCAAACCCTCCCTCAAGAATTGGTTGAAGCTGCGGACACCATCCTAACAGAAGACATTATTTCAACAAGGTGAAGAAGCCAAACACGAGTGTCAAATCCAGATAGGCGAGTTACCCTCAATTCTTTCATGTGGGACTCCTTAATCCTTGGAACGCCTCTGTCGGCAATTACAAGTGGACGACAAACCCGACCTCCATCTGAAGCAATGTACACACAACACTGCAAGACAATACTATTAAAAAAATTGAATTTTTAAAAACTATTACTCCCTCCGTCCCACAATGGATACCACACTCTAAACAACGTGCAAAATCCATCTTTTTTAAAATCATTTTAGTTATAAATTGGTATATGAATAAAACTATGAAAATTGGAAAATGTAAACACGCGCGCACACACGCACACACATTTTAAATTGCAAACAAAAGTAATGATTAATAAAAGATTAATAAACATAACAGATAAACATTCAATTTATCAGAGAAAACATTGGAATGTGTAAATGCGCACACACATATTCTTGCGAACACTCTTTGCTCTTATAAATTGAGTTTTATCATTCATGTTTAATAATCTTTTGTTGAACCAAACAAAATAAAGATCCGTGACATCCAAACGAAAAGAAAAAAATGAAAAGAAAAGAGGAAGGGTGCACTAGTACATGACATTCAAAAGGAAAATTATGTGAAACTTTACCTGCTTTTCATTCACAAAGATGCTTATGAACTCCCCAATATGGCCATTCCTTCGCAACTTTCTCATGGCACTGGCAAACCACTATGCACATAAAAACATATCATACTGTGAAGCACTTTTATGAAGGGCAGCACTGGGGTTACACTTACGCTTAACCCTAAGGTCCCTAGCATCTCTTTCCATGCCAAAAAAATGACACTTCAATAAAAATATACTTAAGGGTGCATATACTCCATTCACTGAAAAAATTATAGACAGGAATCTATGTACCTGTGGCTTCATGTGTTTGCCAAGAATGTGTCCATTCAATATAACTAAAAAAGAATTTGTCGTGTGAAGCTCTTCACCAGACAGATGTTCCAGGTCTTCAACTCCCAGCCAATAGCACTGGAAAAATGATGCGAGTGAAAAGGCAGCAACCAAAAAACATTCATGAATCATCCAAAGCTAATATTGTCAAAATAATGCAAATTTTAAAAATCAAGATTAACAGCTTCAATAATGCTTAATAGTAAGCATGTCATAATGTCCTCCTTTTTCGGAATGTGTTATCTGGAAAATAACATTACATGAACTGCCCAATATAAAATGAACACACACAGTGAATTCTGAATATTACTCATACTTTAAATATTTTGTCATATACAAAATACGAGTAACACATGCGGCGACTAGTTCGTCATTTAAGCATAACCAATAAATTTGAGTTATTATGGAAAAGGGACCATCAAATCCAAGAGGAGGCATGAGAGAACATAATATAAAACATACAAGCTTAAAGACTAGTTATATTGCTGCAGTTCAAGTAAAAAACGTGGTTTTATAACGAAGGTTAATATAGCCATCTCAGTCTCTATTTTCATTTCAAATGTTATATTCTCAGAAGGCATTCATATTTTGTGGCAAGGGGCTAGTAAAGCAATCTACAGCTGCAAATTTAATCACCCTCTATCAGAAGCCATGTCAAGACCTCAGCATTTATCATACTCATATTAAGAGTGACAAAGACAGACCTAACACACAGAGAAAGTAGAGAAAGCCTAATATTCAAGCATTAGAAGTTATCATAGAGACAAATGGAGAGAATAATACCAGATTAACAATAGGGCGCTCATCTTCATCTGTCGTAACATGAGTCATCAAGGCTAAATTTTTTACCAATCCGCAGGATTCACCTTCGGGGGTATCACAGGGACACAGCATGCCCCACTGTCAAAAAGAGGGTGTTTAATTATCGAAGAATTTAAAAAGCAGGTAATTTATCATATAATGCTTGGGTAACAGGTGTACTTGACTTGGTTGTAAAGCTCTCGGCCCGCTAACTTTCCGAGACTTCTCAAATTGTGGTTGGATCTTAGTCATGAAACCCAATGATACAATGTATGATAGCCTAGTCAGGACCTGTAATAAAAAAACAAGCTTTCGTTGCTAATGTGTTCAAGACTATCTAGGTCAAGGCAAAGGATAGTTAGAAAACTACATGGGTAAGTAGATGAGATGCATCAAGGGCATGAGTACCTGTGTCATGCCTTTTCGGTGCATTCTAAATCGTTTCACGTCCCAATTTCCAGTGGATAAAGATCTTTCAAGGCCTAGGGTGATGGCCTCCTTCACTAAATACTGACCAAATACACCAATTGTTTAATTTATGTCAATGCTTGGCATTACTCAAATATCAGAGAAGACAAAAAACAGACATCTTTGCATAATAAGAAATAAAACATACTTCCTAGTTCCTGCTTTCCAAAATAATTGCAACAGCCAATTCTACACTATTCCCACTCTCATTTTACTATCTTTTGTGGTCTATATGTAAGAATATAGTCATGTGGGGACTTTTTAGAACTGTCCCGATAAACTTTCATAATATCAAGTTTTGATAATCTTTACTAAAACACAATTAAAAATAGTGCTCCGTAATGATTTAATTACTAGCTGGGCAAGAGTGAAAATCCTGATGTTGCGATTATTTTGGAACACATGAAGTATGTTACAACCCAATTTTCATTTTGATACTCTGTACTACTTAATTACTCCATAAGAAAACAAAGTTGGAAAGAAGATAAAAAAGACTAGGAGATTAAATATAGCAAGGCCCAACAAAATTGTGTTCCAGTAGTACATGGACAAAGGAGACCATTCCAACTCCATTCCCTTAGATATTTGAAAGAATACACTTCATTTTGCTAAGGGCTAAGTCAATAAGACTTGCACTTTAGTTCCGAATTACATACTTGTGAAATATCCAATTTGCTAGATCGGTTTGACTTTCCCACAACAGCATCAGCAGTCCTTCGAACCTCATCGTTTAATGTCTTGAACAAATCCTGCAATCAGACATTTAATGGAATATATAACACCTCGAATTCATTCATACGTGCTGGTTCATAAAAGAAAAAGTAGGCCTAAAGTACCTCAAACAGTAGGGACAATAGTTGCCCAGAGAGCTCTAGCCGTTTGTTCCCCACATAATCCTAGAAAAGTATAAAATACAAGATTTAGAGCCACGAAGGATGAAAGCCTAATAGGAAAGGTAGCTTTCAATAAGTTAAATATTAGTTCCATTTGGGAAGGGAAAATGACTTCCAGAAGATTCTGGATTCTCACCTGTTTAGTTAGAAAAAAATACTTCCAATGTCAAAGGAAAAAAATTCAGAAAAATCTATATTTTAACCAATTGAGATGGTAACAACACTTCCAACAATCACAGCCGCTACTACCCCACCCACCCCCATCAGCAATGTCAACACCAGACAATCATCATTCATCACCTCCGTTACCACTGCTGATGTGGAGATGTGTGTTGCCGACGCCGCCCAACTGCCACCCTACAACCACATCTCCCGTGGTTGTTGTCAATCATTACTACACTATCAATGCTGTTACCGCCCCACCAGTGCCATACTAACCACTGCCGCCTCACCACTTTGCTGTCATACGACTCCACCAGCACTGAAACCCGACCATTGTCCTCACTAGTATACAACTTTTGCTGCCATCGCATTACCATTAACATGTCACCATTGTTGGCATCCTTACCACCACTACTCCAGTCACCAACCCAGCATCATAATAGTCAGTTACCTACACACCACCTCCCTTACTTTGAAGATGTAAGTGCATGTAAGTTTTATAAAAAAAACAACAGCTAAATGTTGTACACACACTACAAACACATAAGTCTCCACGGGGTTCTAAAAGTGCAGACATTTTACATGTACATATGCACACAAGCATTTTTGAGCTGCCTGCAAGGACTCTACATCTCTGCCCCATTGCGAACTGAACCTATCATGAACCATTTGTGCTACACTATCTTCAATAAGAAGAATTTTGACCCAAGTAAGATTACATCCGACACATTTATCGTATAACAATCATGACAACACTTTTAGGTTTGTGGGTAAGCATTCAAAGCAATAGCTTATTCACATAAAAGAACACAAAAATGTCTATGAAAGGCCAATGTTTCATGATTTGCGCATTCATTTTACAATATCAATCTTGTAATTGAACATTTGAACATGACAATGAAACTTGATGCCTCAACTCATTGCCATCTCGAATATTTTTCATACATGTGGAATAAACTATGATGATGACTGATAGAGTG